TGCTCGGTTGCCGAGTTGAAATACCCGGAGAGATGAACACACACACAAACAAACAGACACACACAGTCAGGGTAGTTGCAATATGCGCTTTTGTAAACTGCAGATAAGCAAAAACGCATAAAAATCCAAATATGTAATGAGTTAATTTACATTTTGGGAGGGGATGAGGGCGGTTGTTTGCTGCAAAATGCACTCATTTCTGAGTCTGGAATAAAGCTGAGTATATCTCACAATCACTTGCAGGGAATTTTACCTCATAGCAAAATTAAGACTATGAGTGAAATTAGAATATCTCAGCTAAGTTTTAACATCACCCTTTATCCGGTAAGCCAAATAACCGCTTCGCCATAAATATCTTTGGAGTGCCCTAAGTCATGGCCCAAGTACAAATCGGCACTCATTTTAGGTATACGATTTCCCATATGGACGACAAATATGCTGACAAAATTGGAGCCACTGTTTTCCAGCAAGTTTTCGAGTCAGCACAGTACCAACTTACAAATTTTGACGTGTTCGCACGCATTCTCAAACTTGAGCGACAGCTGGATTTGAAACCCTGAGCTTACCACGCGGAGAGAATATGCCTGCTAAGTTTCAGTTCTGTAGCTTGCCTGTTCACGAAAGGCATGCCTGGGCAAAAATTTTAAAACGGGAGGATGACACACGGGGTAGGAAAACATACCCAATATTTCAGTCTCCCAGTTTTCCTGGTTGCTGGGGTGACAAAGTTCACCTGCTTCCGAGCACCCACACACAGACGTCCTTTCTACAATATGCGTTTTTGCTGGCTGTAGCTGCGTATAGCGTTACACAGCAAAAACGCGCAAAAAACTACGATCCTGTAAAGTTTTTGTCGATACTATTTCGAAAAAAAATTTTTCAGTTTCCCCAAAAAATACCTGGTTTTTTTTCATTTTCTCGACATCTCTTGCTTTGTTATTAATCAAATCTTACACTGGTGTGGGCAACCTTTGGCGGCACGCGAGCGTGATTTACATACTCTATCAAAGTCCAGGTAATAAATCAACAGTCTCGTACGACCATGCGTTTTTGCGCCAAATTTGACAGCCGGATCATTAACAGTATGAATGGCTTGCTTTACAGTTCAACATGTGCTGAATTTTGCCTGTGTTTTGGCCTCTTCTTGAATGCGAGGGAAAGGATGTCAGGTGGAACAGTAATGTTGCTTTACGATCCTCTCGTTACTGAGTTGAAAGTGGGTGAAAAATTTCATTCGCTTCTGAATACACACATATAAAGTTCGGGCAGTGTTTACGACTGAGACATGAAACTCTTTCTCGCACAAGTTGCTTAGCTTTATCTGCCTTTTTTATTCGTTTAATTCACCTTTATTCACTTTGAATTGCATGTGCCATCATTTCGAATTTGTTTCAAATCCAACCAGTGCCAGTATTTTCTCAGCTTGAATTTAGGCTATTTTAATCATATTAAAACGCCATTCCTTAGTAATATAGGGGATCATGTAGTGGTTAAATGCTGACGTGCGGTTCAGGGTGTAAAAACCCAAACAATTGCATTCGTCGTATAAGTGCATCTCTCAAAACAAATTTTAATGTCGTTTTCGGCAATGCTTTTCATTTCTCACAGCTGTAGTGATATTGATAGAGGTGTTACTAAAGACATATGAGGGCTCCTGGACTTGAAGTACAAGCACTAACTTGCGAAATCGGATGAAAATCTCTGTACATTCATTTTATTTTGATCTGTATTTCTGTTTACTTCGTAGCAGGGCCGTACTGAAAGAAACGGTCGATTTTGCAAAAAACCCCGTTGCTTAGTCTATTGATATCAATAAATGCCATACTTCATAAGTAAGATGGACGAGGCGATTTAGTACGTTTTGTTGAAAACTCTCGCATAGCTCCACGCAGCCAGACTTAAGTGAATCCACCGTTTCACTGTAACTTCTCACTATAACTATTCAATTTTGCAATAGTGCCACCAAAGTATCTACATCACAATTTCCTACCTGTCAATTCTGGTCTGATTGGTCTACTCGGAGACTGAAATGAAATCGCAGTTTGCAAAATTCCTGAATTTATCTGTCTGTATAAGTTGTGCACATGTGTCTCCTGAAAATTTTTGGTCAATTCAAATTTAGGTTTCCAAAGTCTCTGTGCAGTAGCGAATGGGACATTGAACAAATTTTGGGTCCTGATGAACAGTTGTGCTTGCTATGCTTCGGATCGTACTTCTGGCAGTGATAAGCTGGCAGGCAGATGGTAATCAGCTTGTGATCTTTGTTGCCAGACATGCAGGCAAGCAGATTGGACGTATCCCGCGCGCTGTTTCTCTGCTTACTTCTGGTACACGTGAAGGGTGTTATGACGCTGAACAGGTGAAAATTGGTGCTTGAAAATTTAAATCATACGAACCCGAGTGAAAAGGAAAATTTACAAATCTTGCTGTCGGTAAAAATTTGATCATAAGAGTGTGCGATGCTCTCGGCACAGATTGAAAATTTAAGTAATTTTCTTTGGGTAATTTTCTTTCTTAGGTAAGAAGTCTTAGGCAATGGAGCGGCGAATGGTCGGTGTCAATAGGCTTCAGCACATTTCCAACAAAGTGCTCAGAGCCAGATCTGGGGTACAGCATATAATCGAAGAAATGTACGCCAGAAAAAGAA